AGTGGGCAGGAGGAGCACGGGCCCTGTTCAGGGCAGGCTGCACAGAGTGGGCAGGAGGAGCATGGGCCCTGTTAAGGGCAGGCTGCACGCAGTGGGCAGGGAGGAGAGCATGGGCCCTGTTCAGGGCAGGCTGCACGCAGTGGGCAGGGCTCCTCACAGCCTGCCTGCCTTTGGGAACCGGCCTGACCAGTTCCCCCAGGCCTTGGCCAGCAGCACTGACCTCACAGCGGCCTGCCAGCCACATGCAGCCTTATCTTCTGGCCTGGAGCTGCCTGCAAGGCTCGATTACCTCCAGCCAAAGCACCCTTTGGGGCTCTGCTGCCTGCTCCAGCCAGGCTGCCTTGCAGAGGGAACAGGCACAGGAGCTGCCCCAGCCCTGAGCAGGCTGGGCAAGGAGAGAGATCTGGTGGCTGAATGTATCTGGATGCATAGGGCACATTGGGTCTTGTCCCTCCCCATGGGGCAGCCCTTCTTCTTCCCATTCAAGACTCAGGCCCAAGTGCCCTGTAAGGTTTCATAGCCCAGGACTCACCTGGCAGAAATGCTCTCCAAGCTCTGCTGCTCCCCAGGGACATGCCACATCGTCCCACAGCCCTTCCATTTTCGGTGTGCTTTTGGAGTCCCCACAGTGGAAGGGGGTAATGAGCAGAACAGAGGACATCTCTCCTGCTTGCAGAAGGTTTATTAGGGCCAGGATTAAACCAGCAGCAACCCAGTGTTTGCAGTGCTGGACTCATGCTGGCCTGGGGGCCAGTGGGGTCAGTGTCCCAGGAGCAAATACAGAGGTTTTGCTGCCAGTACTTTTAGTGACTTGTTCCTTTCTTTGTCTTTTTACAAGTTAATGCATCAAAGCAGACACAGTTTGTGTGATCTGACATTAGTAGAACAAGTTGCAGGTGAAGCCTCTGAGAGCAGCTTATGGGTACAGGCTGCAGTGCTGTGTGTGATGTTGGTGTGCAGGAAAAGCATTTGTGCTCCTCTAGTAGAAAACCAAAGTCTTTTCTATAGCTGGTTAGTTTAATTTTGAAGATAATTTTAAACTCAATAAACTGTTCTCAGGGGAGGTGTTTAGGGCTATGAAAAGGATCAGTTGTGGAAGTAGATCTATATACTCTGAGATGCATTCGTCACTCACAGGCTCTGTACATAAATGAAGGCTGTGCTCAAAGCTGTGGTGGCCTGGTGGTCTCTGCCAGTGCAACCACCCACCAGCAGTGGGGTCTGATGTTCCCTATCCCATTCCCAGGCCCCACAGCCATGGAGGGATGGTGGGGAGCAGCCCTTCCTTGGGCTGCTGCTGTGGGCCTGGCCTGCTCACCAACCACAGGCACTTTCAGTGTGGCTCATGTGCACCTGCAGCCGAGGGCAGCAGGGAGTTCTCAGTCCAGTCTCTCTCTCAGTCACTCTTGTTCCTGTCTTGCACTCCTCAGGGCTTGTGCTGAGCCTGCCAGCCCAGGGGTGTGCAGGTGGCTGCCAGCACTGCTCACCTTGGCAGGGCTTGGGTTGAACTTTATCAGGTGTGACGGTGGCAGTGCCCCAGGAGGGCGGCACTGCTGCTGCCCTCGCTGCCTGGCCGTGCTCAGAGAAGACCTTGCTGCTCTCTGCCCCTCCCCAGAGCCCTGTTTGACTATGACCGGACCAGGGACAGCTGCTTGCCCAGCCAGGGGCTCAGCTTCTCCTACGGGGACATCCTGCACGTCATCAACGCCTCGGATGACGAGTGGTGGCAGGCCAGGCTGGTGACAGCCCACGGCGAGAGCGAGCAGATCGGGGTCATCCCCAGCAAGAAGAGGTGAGTGTCCAACACCAGGAGCTGGCACACACACCTAGTGACACCAGGATTTCCCTGAGCTCTGCAGCCCCAGGGCCCTGCTCAGGAGGGATCTCCCTGTGGTCCCAGTGCACCTGCCCCGTGCAGCCTGCAGGGCAGCTGGGTTGCAAGCTGGGGCTGTGTGCAGATTGCCCTACACAGGTTCTCCAAAGCTGGGGAGACTCCAGGTGAGGAGGGGAGTGGTCAGCCCCCTCTGTGGTGCCTGTGGGGATGGAGAGTTGGTGTTAGCCAGTCTGGGTATCTGTGTGAGAGCAAGGGCTGCTCCTTGTGTCCTCTGTCAGTGTGCCCAGCTCTGTAGCCAGATCCCACTGTGAGGTGGGGAGTCACAGAGAGCAGAGGAGCTGGCTGCTGCTGCCTTCAGGTCTGCAAAGCCAGCCTTGAGTCTGTCCCTATCGAGAAGGCTGGCTTGGCTCCTCTCCTGCTGCTGCCCAGACCCTGGGCAGGCAGCTCCACATCTGCCCCTTCCTTGGAAGCAGCTTCCATTTGCCAACGGGGCCACCACCCAAGGGTGCCTTTGGCTGCCTGAGGAGCCACGTGGGCAGCGTGGAGGGCGCATGGATGGGACTAGCAGCTCTTTCTCTCCTGATCAGGGTGGAAAAGAAGGAGAGAGCACGGTTGAAAACAGTGAAGTTCCACGCCAGGACTGGCATGATTGAGTCCAACAGGGTAAGTGCTGATCTGGGGCTCAGTGGGGCACCTGGAACTGGTACCTAGTGAGGGCAGGATGAGTCCCAGCAGCAAAAGCTCCTCATTGGGCAGCTCAAACCAATCCCAAGGCAAAGAGCTGTGTGACTGGACCTGCCCCAGGCCCACATCTGCTTGGCACAAACCCTCTGTGAATATGCAGTGATTGAGCAGAGGAGTCCAGGATGGTGTGAAAGCACTGGGAAGGAGCCATGATTGGAGTGATGGGGTGGCAGAGCTCATGGCTTGGAGCTGCCTGAAGGTAGCTGGTGAAGGTAGCTGCCCTCACACCTCAGGAGCAGTGCCTAACAGGCCAACAAGAGAGGAAGAGCAGCCTGGCTACCCCTGCAGAGCTACCGACTGCCCCATCAGCTTCCCAGCATCCTTACCACATGTTTTTCTCCATGCTTAATTTTTTTCCTGCATTACAGTTCTCACGTAATCTCCATGATTTCATTTGAGGGTGACCACCCTGCCACAGCTCCTCATTGTGTCTCCATTTTAATTTTCCCCACATGTGTTAAACACCATTGTTTTTTCTGTCCTCCTCCCATCTCCTGTTCTTCAGTCGATCAAAACGAAACGTAAAAAGAGTTTCCGCCTCTCTCGAAAGTTCCCATTTTACAAGAGCAAAGAGAACCTGGCCCAGGAGAGCAGCGGACAGGAACGTAAGTAGCAGCTGGCCAGAGAGGGAAAACCTGCACCCCTGAGCTTCCCTGCCCTGAGGGAAGAGATTCAGCACCTTTCCCTAGCCAGGGGTCCTGGCACCTGCCTGTACTCAGGTTGTGCTCCACAGTCGTGCCAGCAGCTAGGGAGAAACTCGAGCTGGAAATGAAAGCAACAGCTGCAGTCTGGCACTCTCTTCCTTTCTCTCATGTTCAATGTCTTCATCTTTTCATCCAACTTTACACCCACCCAGCTCCCTGCTCTGCCTCCCCCTGCTCTCCCCCCTTTGCTGCAGGCTCTGCTCCCTCCCTCTGCCTGCTTCCCTCCCAGTGAGGGGCTGGCTGCCTCCTGCAGAGCTTCTCCTGTCCCTGCCAGGGCTCAGGCCTGGGGAAATCCCAGCTCCATCTTCCCTAGAAGTGACTCACAGCTTCACATTCCCACTGGAGAGCCCTTCCAGTGTGTTCACAGGGAAGCCATGACCCTGCTGCCCACCCATGGCTGAGGCACATCTCTGGTAGTTGGCTGCAGATGTTGAGGCTCCACAGCTCTCACCACCCTGGGGCTCCCACTAAAGGCAGGGTGTTTATCTTGCTGCCCCAAATGCTGATGTGGGCAGCACTGGAGCTGCTCCCCAAACCCAGCCCCTCCTCTGAGTGCTGGGCTGCATCCACTCCTCGGGCAGGCACCCAGCTGGCAGTGCCCACACCTCTGGGAAGGGGCAGTGGGCAAGGCTGAGCTGTGTCTGTGCCCCAGTGCCAGCCCAGCAAGCACATCCCCTCCCCTCTGGGGCTGTCCTGGTGTCACAGAGAGCAGGAGCAGCTGCTGGGCTGCTCCAAGGGCTGCCTGCATCCCTGTGCTGCCCATGCCAGGCTGGTGCCAGCTGATTTTAGCAGACAGCCCAAGCCTCTGGCTGTGCTGAGGTTGTCTCTGTGTCTGCCTGTCTGTGGTAGTGCCTGCACATGGCTGGGCTCCAGAGAGATCAGTGCTGAACCTGGGGCTGCCTTTGGCTGCCCTGCAGTGAGGTGACACAGCGTGGGGATGGGGCAGGCCCCTCTCTCCCTGCCTGTGTCACAGGCACACAGCCAGCTCCCTCCCTGTGCTCTGCCCTGTCCATCCCAGCTGGCACTGGGGGGCCTCTGCCTCACATTTCCACAGCCTGTGCAAGCATTGGGGTGTGGGGCAGCTGACACACACAGCTGGGGAAAAGTGTCCTCCTGCCATGTATTGCAGGACTGTGTGCTGTGCTGGGGAGACACAGAGCCACTGTGCCCTGCCAGGGCACCCCATGAGGAGAAACATTTCAGCCCCTGTGCCAGCAGCTCAGGGCTGCAACTGCTTGCTGCCAATGATGCTGCTGTGGCTGCCCTGCCCTCCCCAGGCCCAGGGTGGCTCCTGGGGGCTCTGTGGCAGAGAGGGTGAGCTTGGGGGACGGAGGGGGTCCAGCCAGACAAGGCAAGGTGTTGGCAGCGGGCTGATGGTGTCAGCTCTGAAGATATTTAACCTCACTTGCAGTTGCAGCTCTGGGCCGTTCTGCACTCCTGTCACTAATGCTGGTCTGGCTCTGTCTCCCCCGTCCCTCTGACTCCCCTTTCCTGCGCTGTCTTCTCTCCCCCTCTCCCCCTTCTTGCTGTCTGTGAAATCAGGACTTCCCTGGGTTAAGTGACGATTATTATGGAGCAAAGAACCTGAGTAAGTTGAATTCCGATGCACATTGTTCCCTGTGTGTGGCTGGCGGTGCCTGGGGCGTGCCTGGGGCAGCTGTGCTTCCCTGGCTGCAGGGCAGGAGGAGCCCGGGGGCTGCGGGGCTTGAGGTGCCTCTGCTGCACGTGGGACGGGGTGGGGGAGCTTGTGTGGGGGTGGTGGCCGTGCCCTGAGTGCCTGCTGCACCTCCTCATCCTCTTCCTCCTGCTCCTGTCTGGGTTGGTCGGTGCTTCAGCACTCGGAGCCACTTCCAGTGTGGGTGGGACGTGGCCATGGTGGGCCTGCTCTGAACGGGGAGGGTGACAACATTTTGAGGTGTTCCCACCTTTCTCTGGGTTACCACATGTGCAGAACTGCAGAATAAGGAGAGGAGCCCCATGGGATGTGGGTTCTCTGCCAAGCCCCACACCCCAGGCAGTGCAGAGCCTGACTGGGGCAGGCATCGGCCAGCAAGGCTCTGTGGGGTGGTCGCAGCACTAGGATCAGCCTGAGCAAGCAAAGCCCCAAACTCTGTCCCATTCTGTCACTGTCTTGTCTCTGTGTGTCCCAGCCCCATCCCCAGAGGCAGTGGATCCCCTGTGCCCATCCCTGTGCCAGCACAGCCGTGCCCTCCCTGCCCGCTGTGTGCATGCTGCACTGCTCCCCTGCCAGCACCCCCTGTGCACTCCCCCTTCCCTCGGCCTGGGATGCCCTCACCTGTGCCAGGCAGGCCCTCCTGGCCTCTCTGTCCCCTCCTGGAGCATCCCCTGCATGTCCCCGGGCTCCCAGCCCAGGGTGAACGATGCCGCCCTTGCCCACGAGGCACAGACTCGTCCCACTGGGGGCTGGGCTGCAGGTTTTGGGGAGCCACTGCTGTCCTGCCCTTGGTCACTAGTGCTGGGTGACAGCTGGCTGCCCCCGTGCCTCCTGCCCAGGCTCCTTCTGAAGGGATCTCTCTGGTTGCTTTGCAGAGGGCGTGACATCAAACACCAGTGACAGCGAGAGCAGTTCCAGTAAGTGTGTGTGCACCTGCTCTCCCGCCCCTGTCCGTGTGTCTGTGTGTCCGTGTGTCGGTGCGCATGTCTGGGCACATCCATCCTGTCTGTCTGGAGGCTGTTCCTTCCTGCTGGTGACACTGAGATGCTGCGGCCAGCTCGGGGCAGGGACAGCAGGGGCTGGCAGCAGCAGTGAGCCTGCCTGCTTCTCTGCTCTCTCCTGGCTGCTCCAGGGCAGGGTGGCGGCTCCCAGTCCATGGTGATGCCCCATCCTCAACGGCCAGAGGCCAGGCCTGTACAAGAGCATGGGATCCAGCTGCAACAGATGCTCCTTCTGTCCCCAGAAAGTCCTCTAAATACCTGCAGGGAGGACACAACATCCCAATGGGCTGGAGCCTGCAGCAGTGGGGGAGGGAAGGAAGAGGCTTGACCCAGAGCTGGGACATGAATAATTAAAGTGGCTCAAGGGCACATAGCTGCATGCCCAGCATGCTTCACATCCGTGGGTGGAGTGAAGGGGACAGCCTGGAGTGTCCCCAGAGCTGGGGGAGGCTGGAGGGGCAGGAGGCAGCTCCTCACAGCTGCAGAGGGGCTGGAGAGCTGCTGCAATGCTCACCTCTGTCGCCCTGGCTCTGTTGCAGAAGGACAAGAGGACACCATCCTGTCGTACGAGCCAGTGACGCGGCAAGAAAGTAAGTCCTGAGCTGAGCTGCCCTGTGCCCACTGCAGTGGGGCCACCTGTGTGCCCAGCACAGCCAGGGGGTCCTGTGGGCCCTCCCCTCCTGCCACAGCAGCAGGGCACTGGGTGGATGCAAGAGGAGTCCCGTGTGGTGCATGCAGCAGGGGTGCCAGGTGTGCACGGCTTTCCTGGCCTCACTGTCCATTTTTAATCAGAAAAGATTTGTGTGTGGTCTGCAAGACCAAGGGAGAGATCCCTTCAAAAACTGAGCTGGGCTTTAGTCCTCAGCTGAGGACAAGATTATCCCTTCCTGCCTCAGACCCACTCCCTACTGCAGAGCAGAGCACCCCCTCCCTGGCCACAGCCTGCAGCCTTTAACCCTGCTTGATGCCCAAACCCTGCAGACCCTTTTGCAGACTGGATAGTCCCAGCCTCGGTGGTCTGTCCTTGCCAGGAGCTGGATCTGACCCTTAGGCTCCCATAACTCCCCCAGCTCTGTGCATCCTTGCCCAGCTGTCCTGGTTCTGGCTCCTGCCCAAGCAAGGGAGCAGCTTTGCTGATCCACAACCCTGGAGACCTGCAGAACCTTCCCTGGGGCCACACAGATGGTTTGGGTCAGATGGGAAGGACATGTTCACCGTGCCCAGGAGGAGATAAACTCTCACAGAGGAGGCACCTTTGGGTGCCCATGTGAGCAGGAGCACCCACTGCCAGCAGGGAGAGGGCAGGTCCATGCCAGAAGTGGCACTGGGGTCAGCTCTGGAGCACAGGGGGAACTCAGGTGTGGCTCTTGTTTGCAGTTCACTATGCCAGGCCAGTGATCATCCTGGGCCCGACCAAGGACAGAATTAACGACGACCTCATCTCGGAATTCCCTCACAAGTTTGGTTCCTGCGTGCCCCGTAAGTCCCAGCTCGGGGCCACAGCTGGAGGGAGGGGACAGGGCTGGCTCTGCTCCTTGCAGGGTCCTGCCCGTGGCGTGGGGAGGGGGCAGGAGCACGGGGTGGGTTTGTCCCTCCTGGTTTGTGGGGTCACTCTGGGCTCACTCTTGGTTCCCGCTCTCTGCAGACACCACCAGGCCTCGGCGTGACAACGAGGTGGACGGCCAGGACTATCACTTTGTGGTGTCCAGGGAGCAGATGGAGAAAGACATCCAGGACAACAAGTTCATAGAGGCTGGGCAGTTCAATGACAATCTCTATGGCACCAGCATCCAGTCCGTGCGGGCGGTGGCAGAGCGGGTGAGTGCCAGGTGCCATTCCTGGCACTGGGATGCATCCAGCAGCTCCCCTCCTTCCCCCCTGGTGTTAATCGAGGGCTGTAACCACATTAAGCAAGCACAGCAGATCCTCTCCTCCCTCCAGAGTCCTGCCAAGCCATGTGGCTGCTTTTCTCAGCTGTGTTACTCTGCCTCAGTATGGTACCTCTGTCATCCAAACTCCACCCAAAAGCCTGGCACTGCTGGCCCAGCCTTGTGCTCAGGACTCACAGGATGGAGATACCTGGGTGCCCTGAAAGCAACAGCGTTCCTCTGGAGGAGTCCTGGAGCTACCCAGGGCTTGTAAATAGTTTCACAAGCCCAGACAAAGGCTCAGTCCCTTTGAATTGTTGCTGTCCTGCCCTGAGCAAGCAGGAATGTGAGGCCATTGGGAGCTGGCTTGTGCCTCAGGAGTGGGGTTCATTTCTGTGGCTCCTCCCTTTCCAAGCACATCTGTATGAGCAAGCTGTTTCCCACACAGAGCAGAGTGTGTGGGTAGGTCTGATCCTGCCTGTCTCCTTTCCAGGGGAAGCACTGCATCCTGGATGTGTCTGGCAATGCTATCAAGAGGTTGCGACAAGCACAACTTTATCCCATTGCCATTTTCATCAAACCTAAATCCATTGAAGCCCTCATGTAAGTGCAGCACCGTGTTCTGTGCCTGTCCTGCTGCTTCTGGCCCTGGGTAGAGCAGGCTGGAAAGAATGGGAGAGCTGAGCTTGCAACTCTTCTGAGCAGCAGCAGCAGCATAGAGTATTATCTGTGAGGAGAGTCAACAGCTTGAGAGTGACCCTGAGATCAGAAGGAATTCTGCTGGCACCAAGGGGCCTGGGAAAACCCTTCTCAAGTCAGAAAGGGTCAAATTGCTTATTTCTGTGTTTTATGGAGATGAGAAACCCTAGGCAGGCAGCAGCAGTCTCACAAGTTTAAGGGATTGTCTGGGTTTGAATTCCCTTCTGTGCTGTGGTGCAGGGCTGGGGTAGGTGGCAGTGGGAGGAACTGTGGAGGTTGAGATGAAGGGCCAAGGCAGCCTGGGGTCTGTGGGGAAGGGAGCTGGGTCCTGCACAGCTTCCATTCCTCTGAGCAGAGGATTCTCAGGCACCTTGGCTCTGTGGGCTATTTTTGCTTCTGTTCATTGCTGAGAAAAAGAGCTGAAAATTTCTTATTTTTTGTGTGTGGCAGGGAGATGAACCGGAGACAGACATATGAACAGGCCAACAAGGTCTTTGACAAAGCCATGAAACTTGAGCAAGAGTTTGGAGAATATTTTACAGGTGAGTGTCCTGAGCAGGCTTGTATCTGATTTACTTCATTTTTCCATCCAGCAGCTGTGACCTCTCTACCAGCACTGTCCTACTGCAGGGTCATGGGAAAACGTCCAGCTTCACAAAGCAAGACAGAAATGGCACTTTGCCAGGAGGGCTCTGCAAGGGGACTGCTCCAAGATCAGTGGATAGGAGTAAACCAGTCAGAGAGGAGGAGACAAGTTGTCAGGCAGGATTTTCTGAGTTTGTGAAAGCTTATCACCAACTTCAACAATAATAAAAATCTCAAAATCCCCGAGCAGGGGAAGCACAGGGTTTCAGAGTGCTACAAGTCTACAGGAAGTAAACTCCCTGCATGGGAGAAAAGGGGAGCATTTTCAAAAAGAGAAGAGAAGTTTCTAAAGGGGAAAGATTAAAAATTAGTGACCTAAATGGTGGAGACAGTCCTGAGTTATTACAAAACATCTACCAAAAAAGACTGGAAGTTTGGCTTGCTTCCTAAGTAGTCTTTGCTCAAGAACCAGTCAGGGGTTGCTGACACTTTGTGCCTGCCGAGATGAACTGCTCATGACACAGGCATCCTTATGCATTAGGGAACTAATGCTTCTAACATGATTAATTCTGGAAAACCACAGGCAGGTGAAGAGGCAGAGGAACTGGTCTTCCATCCTTTTTCCAGTGCAATAGCTGTTTCTTCTGAAGTTGAGGAATGAAAATGTTGCCAAACTGTGCATTACCTGAATAACAGCTACTGGGAAAAACCCCAAGCAGGATGTTTTCCAAAAATTGATTTCATGGGCACATAATGGAGTACAAACACGATGAGCTTTCCCCAGACCTCCTGTCCTGGGCTCCAGAGCTGCTGGCTGTTTTTCCAGGAAAACAGGCCCTCAACATGCCACTGTGCACTTGGAGGGCAAGTTTGATGTTGACCTGTGAAAAAGGAATGCTGTTGGCTGAAATGTGTTGAAAGAACTGGGTAATGGGCAGAGAGATGGTCACTGCCACAGGTTCTGTGCCAGCAACTTAGAATGAGGGAGCAGAGATGCTGGAGGATGGTCCTGGCTGGGTTACAGAGGCAGGAAAGCTTTGGCCCTTCTTGAGCATCTTGCTGTGGTGTAGCAGCCCAGGGCAGTGCAGGATGGGGCAGGGGCTGCTGCTGGGAGCCTTTCCCAGCCTGAGAGCTCTGTGTTCCCACCCTGCAGCACAGGAGACAAACAGGAGGAGCCCTCAGCAGCCAGCCAGAGGGAAAACCAGAGGGAAGGGACAAAGCTGGCACCTCGGGGGGGATCCTGGTGCACCCCATGAGCTGCCCCAGCCCTGCCTTCCCTGCTGTGGTCAGTGCAGCCCCGGTGCCTGACACAGCGTGCAAAGCTGATTAGCAGCCTGGTGTGGAGGGCCCTGCACACAGCCAGGAGCTCTGCCAGCTGGGATCAGCACTGGCTAATCCCCACCGAGGTGCTGCTTTAACCCTCTGTGTCACGGCGCCCAGGGCAGCTCCCCTGACAGCGCCTGGCTCAGTCCCTGCAGGCTGTGCCCTCTGGGGCTCCAGGAGGGCTCTCCCTGACTCAGGGCAGTGCTGCCTGGGGCTCAGGGTCTTGCTTGTTCTCTCCTCTTCCAGCCATCGTACAAGGAGACTCTCTTGAAGAAATTTACAGCAAAATCAAACAGATCATTGAGGACCAGTCCGGGCACTACATCTGGGTCCCGTCCCCAGAGAAACTCTGAAGATGTCTCCCTCCTGCTTCCCTGTGAGCAGAAGATCTCTGAAGTCCCACCCATCCGAGCCCTCTGCCCCGAGGGGGAGGGATATGAAAACTATTCCTGCTCCCTTTTTTAGATCGTCGCAAAATTGAGTTTTCTAGTCCTGTTTCTTTTGTTGGGATGAACTCATATCATTCATCACGTGACTGTTCCCACCATTCCTGCATGGACCTTCCCACTGCTCCAGTAGAGACAGACGAAAACCCATTCAAGGTTGTTTTTTTATTATTATTATTCTATTATTATTATTATATTATTATTATTATTATTATTAACTAAACGAAGAATCAAGATGGGAGGAGGCAGCTAAGGACTAATGTAAGAAGACAAGTGAAACAATGGACTCTGAACACATGAGCTGGTATCAGAGCTCCAGGGGCATTTTTCCAAGTGTGACCGTCTAGCAGCTCTGAACAGTGCGACAGATGGGGCAGCAGAAAGCATTTTATTTATCTGTATATGTAATTTATATATAATATAGAGGAGAGATATTATATATATATTATATATATATATGTATGTGGACTAGGAAATCTGAGGGACCTCTCTGGAAAGGTGTTGTATTATTGCAAGGTTCTCTCAGTTCCTCTGTCCCGAGCACTCGGCGCAGGGAGTCCACTTGGGCAGGAAGAGCTCAAACGGTACCAGGTGCTTTGGAAACTTCTCCCATGCAGGCCAGTTCCCTGCAGCCCCCCTGGGTCTGAGACAGGCCAGAGACTGGTACAGCCTGTGCAGGAGGGACCAGAACAAGGAGCAGCAGCTGGCCTGCAAGAGGCTGGGAGACAGAGACTGAGCAGGAGGCTGCGGAGCAAGAGAATGGATGATGCTACATATTAAATTGCACATTGTTTTACACATCACCTTATGTGTTTGCATGAGAGGTTTCCTTTTGGTTCTATTTTTTTAAGCTGATTTTAAACCAAAACCATATTGTGTTGTTGTGTTGGCTTTTTTAATTATTATTATAATTATTATTATAATTATTATTCCATTTTTCTCTTGTCAATGATGAACTGAATGGGTATAAAATCCAGTTTTTTAACTTATTTTTTAAGCTGGCTCTATTGTAAATAGAATCTAGATCTGTGGTGTTTAGTTAAGAAATACTTTACTGGCCACATGGAACAAATGTACTCACTGTCCTGTGTTGCTGTGAAAAACCTGGGATGTTGGACTGGCCCTGTACCTGTGGGTGCAGGTGGAATGACCCATTCTGGCTGTGGCAGCACACTGGCATTCCCTTCTACATTAGCCACTGGCAGGAAAAGCCCCCAGCTGTGCCTTGGATGGACACTCCCATTTTGCAGCTCAGTGACAGATTAAACCCTTCTGTGTCCCCTGCTCCGTGCCAGTTCCTGGCCCTGCTGTGTGCCCGTGCCAGGGCTGGCTGTCCCGGGAGGGGCCCTCCCTGCAGCAGAGGTGACTGCACGGCCACCGTGCCTGGCTCTGACATTCTGTGGGAATCTGTGGCTGGAGCTGGATTCTGCTGCCTCCCCCAGCCACTCCAGAGCCCTGGAGTGCTGCCCCAGCTGGCAGCTGAGGGCAGAGGCTGCAGAGCTGCCCCATGCCCTGGGCACTGGCATTTTTCAGGAGAGGCACAGGGACACTTGGCCCTAAGCTGAGACATGTCTGTCTTTGAGGACACTTTGTGCTTGAGTGGGGCTCCAGGCCCTTGTGTGGAGCTGGGGACACTCTCGTGGCCTTTGAGCAGTGTGTGCTGGGTTCTCAGAGTCCAGGTCCCAGCGCTCTCACCTTACCCAGAGCTGTGGATGCTGTTCCTCACACAGCACAGTGCCACCCACAGCACAGGAGGTCGCTGTCCAAGCACGCCCAGGTAAGTCTCCTCCTGCCCCTGCTTGGCAGGGATGGGCTGTGGTCCTTGTCCCCGAGGTGATGGCTCTGTGTGTGTGTCAGTCAGTGCCACTGTCCCTGTGCTGCCTGGGGAGGAGCCTCTCTGCCCACCCTGCATCCCGAGGAGCCCTGCAGGGACCCAGCAGCTTCTGGGGCCAGGAGGGCTCTGCAGCAGCCCCAGCTGTGAGCACAGTGGAGGGCAGGAGGGTTCTGCTGTCGCTGGGACCGACCCTAAAGGAGCACACAGAACTTTGGCAATGGGTTCCTGCCGGGCATCCAGCCCCTGCCCCGCTGGTCCTGCTCCAGCTGCTATAAATGTCGGTCCCTGAAGAAGTGGAGTAAGTGAAACAAAAGTCCTTAAGGTGCTAGTCACACATTCCTATCTTTTGTCTTTTTTTTTTTTCTTTTCTTTTTTCTGGTTTTTCCTAATAGCCTGTCTCCCTCTCTCGAGTCACGTGGAGAAAAGATGATGTACTCCATGGCATAGCTGACAGTACTGAATCAATCATGACAACAGTAGTTGGTTAACAGTGTTTCTTCCAAGGAGACATATATTTTTAATAAACAGAGAGTTGCAAAGAACTCTTGTCTTTGAGACCTTCTTGTAGAGTCCTTCATTGTGTACCAGATCTGGTTTTTTTTGGTGCTGGTGTTAGTCACTCTTGATATGGTCTCTTTATGGCAAACTGGAGTGTTGACACTGATTTAGGGGGAAAAAAATAGCCTTTTTTAGTATAAAAGGTAATGCCTGAGAACTTGCCTAGTGGAAAAAGGAAACCTAAAAAAAAAAGAAAATAGAAAATAAAAGAAAGGAAGTGAGCTTATTTAGAGCTGCAACTCAGGCACTGAAAAGTGCTTTTGGTTGGGTTGTTTTAAGCCAGGTTAAGTCTGGCCTGATGACACAACACCATAATGTATTCTGGATCATGGCTTGAATTCTGGGGAAGTTGCCTTACAAATAATAGGGTCCATGGGATGCTATATAATTGTTCTTGTATTGGATATAAAGACAGCAAAGTAAATACATAGTCCAGCTAAAGTAGAACTTCTTTTTAGTTTTAACATGCTGCTTAAATATCAGAGGGAAGAAAAGTTGTAAGGACAACTGGTATAATTTTTAGTACCTTCAAATGCAAAGTGTTCACTGAAAGACAAATGTGGTTAGAGGGGTGTCACAGTCCTTTCGTCCCTGAATCTGCTTTGTCATTTAGCTGAGCTGAAGGGGTTTGGTTTTTAAATACTCAATTTCTTTTTTACTTTCAAACTGCACAGAAGAGAAGCAAATTATGATTTCAGGAGAACAAGGATATTGTACCCACTGAGCATGGGCATACAGTTTGCTGACTGTTGAGTTTGTGAAGCCCACTGGACAAATTCAAAACCATTTAGAAACTCCTTTAACTGATCAGATCAACAGCCTGGTGGTGGTGGTTGCCCACAAAACACCGGAAGGTTCAGCAGTTGCTAAGAATGATGCTAGAATTACCACTGTAAAAAATCAAACTGCTTGCATGCTGACAGATGTGGAGCCAGGGATGAAGCAGCACAGAAATATTGTCTGTTGCTGCTCTGCCCAGCCCGTGTGGGACTGCAGCCACCCCTCCCATGGTCTGTCCTGAGCTCCTGTGTCACCTCATCTGCTGTGACAGCAAAACATCCAGGCTCCAGGGGCAGAGGAACACGGGGTTATCTTCTCCAATAAACCCCGGCACTGCTGTGAGGCAGAACAACCTCTGGAAGAGAAACACCATGTGAAGAGAAAGAGGGTGGCTTGGAGAAGGAATTGGCTCTGTTAAAGCTGTAACCACCCATTTTCCTGGCTAAGGATAAGTTGCAAAGTCCTGGCCCAGAAAATAGCAGAGCATTGTCCTGAAAATGCTCCTGTGCAGTTGTGAAATGTAGGAGCTGGTTCTTTTCTCTCCTAAGATGTCCTGCTAAAGCTGCCTGCAACAGGCATGAAACTAATCTGCCCTAAGACACTTCTAGAAAATTAGACTGTAAGCTGCTTGTGCTCTAGAGAAACATGTCTGTGCTTCTGTCTGCAGCTCTGGGTAATTAGCTGTCTTAGCTAAGCAGGAGAGCACAGGTTGTGCTGTGAGGCTAATGGAAGAGGGGCTTTAAAGGAATGTAATTAGAATTTTCTCCAAATTATTTTCCCCATTGATGGAGCTGTCTCAGATACGCCTGTTGTTGCTAATGATGCTTGGCAGCACAATCTTCAAGAACTGCTGTTCTCTGCTTTCCTCAGGCTGTCACAGCAGGATTCATGGCACTGAAGCATCTGCTGTGAAGCAGGTAAAGTTATCATCTTGTCAAAGGTGTCTCTTTCTTTCAAGAATCCTTGGGTACCTTGACCTTCAGTGTTTATTTATATCCCTTGCCTCCAAATGAGGGTCATTTGTTTACCCTTAGGGTTTTTAACCCTAAGGGAAAAACATTACACATAGTTAGAGTCAATCAGTGCAGCATGTCTGAGTGGTACCAGCACGTGGGAGCACCTCTGGGACCTGCAGGACCTGCTTGGGGCCACACCTGACTCAGCACAGGGTGACTCTGGAATTTCCTCCCCTGGTTACAGGGCACTGCTTGACAAAATCTCCTGCCCAATCCTCTAACGAGCTTCAGCCCTCTTCCAATTACCTTCATTTCTGATTACTGTGACCACTGCTAAGTGTGAGTGGCCAGGCCAGCCCCTCTCCCCGTCCTGCCTCTCCCAGCTGCTCAGAGCAGCCCCGGCAGTGGGAGCAGAGCTCTCTCCCCAGTGTCTGCTGGGAGGTGCCCCCTCGGTGCAGGGCTGTGGAGAAGCCCTGCTCCTGCTGCAGGTGCTCTGGGTGGTGCAAGGGGCTCCAGGGCTCAGCAGCTGAGCTGGGATCCTCTCTGCCCTGCCCCATCCCCAGATCTTCTCAGCAAGGACGTTTTTCCCCGGGCAGGCTCCCTGCCCCATCAATCCCAGGTGCTGGCTTGGACTCACCCAATTCCCACTGCAATTCCCTCGTGCCTCTGCACTGCTGCTCCTCCACAAACGGTTAAGAAGTCAAATTAGGGGCAAAAAAGGGCAGAAAATACTGGCTAGGGAAAAGGCTGTGACCTCCTGGCCTGAGGAGCCATCTGTGTTCTCAGAAGCTGGGAGGGCTCTGCAGCACAGAACCAGTGTCCAGCACACCCTGGAGCTCCCACAGTGATGTGTAAATAGGAAAGTACAGCTGCAATGCCACCCTCTGGAGCCATCTGTGCACATCCAGGGATGAGCACACAGCTCTGAGCTGAAAGAGAACAGGGATCAATGAAAAGAATGGGGGAGGCATGAACAGCTCTGTTATTTTTTTACAGGTCAGCTGTTGCTGGTTTAGAAAACATTTATAAACCACAGTCACCCTCGATGGAGTGCTGAACTGTAAAGCACATTTAGCCTGGACCAGCCTGCATCTGGACCAAAAAACATCTGCAAAGGTGTGATTGCACACAGACAACCTACTGGGAACAGCCACTGGAAATGGCTAATTACAGTCCGATTCAACTAGGAGAGGAATTCTTGTCCTACTTAAACCCTTTGGTAAATACTAAGCCTGGAATAAAATGTACTGTGTAAAAATGTGCAGGAAGAGATGAGTGCTATCAGCAGAGGCTGAAACTTATCTGATCCAGGCTCTTCAGGGCTGCGTGTAGCATAAAAGAAATCAGAGTATCTGCAAGGAAAAAATTCAAACCATTCTGGCTGTAGGCAAACCCACATTTAGTGTTTGCTGCCTTCTATGGCTGTATGTAATTACCTCCTTGCACTTGCTGGGCAAACATGACCTTTCTGAGCAGGTACAGTGTGACACCTTTACCTGTTTATGTGTGTGCAAGTCAGAACTGAGCAGTAATTAAAGCCAGCCCAGCAGGCTCCAAGGAGATTCTGCAGGCAGGATGGGAACCTTTGAGTTTGTGGCATCATTTAGAGTCCCCCAGTGCTGTGATGCAGCATGGATCTCCAAACCTGTGACTCCAGAAGAATTTTCTGTTTCATCTGAGACCTGGATTTTTACAGATTTAAAGGTATTTCTTGGTTAAACAGGCAGTACATTGTGCATTAGAGATCTGAAAGCAATGTCTCAGAGACCCAAACTAGGTCTGGTGAACTGATTTAAGCTCACCATGAAATGGAGAATTGACACTAAACAGATCCATACTCCTCTAAAGGAGCTCCATGTGTGACCCTTCAGGTGCCCCTCTGGGGTCCCAGTGGCGCCACCCCAGACTGGGACCAGAGTCCCTTGGCTGTGGCAGCTCCAGTGACCCAGTGGGTCCTTGCTGGGCTCCCTGCACACCCCACACTCACACAGAGGACTCCCCACTGGCTCAGCCCCAGCTTTCCACAGCCACATCCCAGATGTGCTCAGACTTGTGAGCACCTGCCTGGCCCAGGAGCCCTCCCAGCCCTCCCAGGGACAGCTGCAGCTTCTGCCCTGAGCTCAGCACTGCTGCTTCTTCTGTTCCAAGGGACTGTGAAACCAGCAAACAGCTCTGAATTCTTGTCCCCACTGAAATGGACTGGAAACTAAACAATCTGATAAATATTTATGCAGCAAGGCAGCTATGACAACCAGAGGAGATGGAATACTTTTTAAAGACTTTCATTGTGCTCACTGCCATTTGCTACTAAAACCAGATATTTAAACCAACCTGTTACACAACAGCAGAGGCATCTCATGTAAAACTTAAATATTTATTTCTAACAGCTAAATACCTCCAGAGAATGAAAATTATTCCCTAGAGGAAAACAATTACATTTATTGAATAAACACTTCCTAAAAAGTACATAACTTCTCTGCCAACAAGAAGGAGATGCTGGTTTCATTCCCACTGCTCCCATGGCCCTGTGCCTTCACAGAGCTAACAGCCTCTCATTCAGCACAACGCTTCCAAGAGAGACTGCTTTCCTTTTTTTTTGTACTTGTGGCTGTCATTATTCTTCATTTGGAATAAATCCTTTTGCTCTGTCCAGCTTGTCCAGAACCTCACTATAAAGGCCAACCATCTGGAGAATATGAGCAAACTTGTCAACAAGGATGGATAAAAATGTATCATTTAACTAAGCGTAGAATTTAACTAAATGTATCCTTTAACACAGAACAGAACTAAGGGAATAGGTGGGAGGCTACCACCAGTTTCTAAACCAAAAATTTCAAATTGATGTAAAGATTTTTGGCACAGGTTTAAATAAAATAATTTAAATAAAATTTAGGAAAAAAAAAGATCAGTGCAACCTAACAAAAGTGGTTTTATTTACAGTCATAAAGCATAGTTTATATGTGAGCCTTATATCAGCACATAAACCTATTCACCAAATCACAGATGTTGGGAGCTGATGTTGAGGATGGGGAAGGTTCTTATTGTCAGCTCTCATTGCTTTAACTGATGCATTTAAAATGGTGTAAGTTACAGCCAAGCCCTTGATTGCTCAGCTTGTACACAAGAGAATGAATGGTGACACCAGCCAGGCTGCACTGGGCTGCAAACTAGACAGGAGCAGCAGCCAAAAGCTGTAGGAAGAAGCTTATTTGTGACAGAGTAAGAAAAGTGTCATTGCAAAGTGTCACCTACACTTTGTAG